AAGCCACGGCGCCGCGTCGCCTATACTTATTGCCAACTGATGTTGTGTTTTTAAGAACATCTTTCTTGTTTGTAAAAATGCAAAAGTCACGCAGTAGGCACCGACGAGATTCGAACTCGTGATCTCCTGTTTACTAGACAGGCGCTTTAACCAACTAAGCCACGGCGCCACGTAGCCTCGATCTTTTTAGACAGGCGCTTTAACCAACTAAGCCACGGCGCCGCGTCGCCTATATTTATTTAGACAGGCGCTTTAACCAACTAAGCCACGGCGCCACGTATATCGCTTTTCTTAACGTTGAATATCAATACACATCTATAATTGTTTATTTATATTATCTGCTTTAAATGCATTACCTATTGTAAGTTAAGTTCATATATACCGTTTAATTAAAAGACAATAACAAAATACTAATTAGGTCTTAAGTCATTTTTAATCATTTTAATCCGTTCATATAGACTATATGTTAATTAGAAATTATCCATATGTTCTCCTCCATTTTCTACACAAATTTAAATATTTCTCCATTTTCTACTGAATATTTCCTTCATTTGATGGTCTGAAGTCTTTAAAGTAGTTCCTTTTAGGTCTTTCGATTGTTATAAGATAAAGTTGAGAAAATTCTCTTTCACAATACAGTTGACCCCCTATAACACTATTGATTATTCCGTTTTATATGAATTCTATGTTGTACGAGTCACTTAGATTTTACAAATACGTGTGCCGGGCTGTGAACGGCTCACGTATTTGTAAAATGTGACTCGTACAACATAGAATTCATATAACACGGAATTATTAACAGTGTTATAGGGGAGTCGACTGTACCTTAAAACAAATCATCATATAAAGGGCCTATCATAAGAGGAGGCCACTCCTGATAGGACCTATATTTGGTCAATAGATCATATTTACAAGGGACTTAAAAAGCATTAAGTATTACAAATTATTTATTCATTACACTGCATTTTTTTCGTATTAAGAAAAAGTCCTTGTTTTCCCGAATTTTATTACGTAAAATTCTCTTTTCTTTTTTAATTAATATACTAAGAACATCAAAAAATCTTGCTTTTTTTAAAGAGTTCTCGACAGATTTAACATACAAAAGACATCTCAAAGATCAAAAAGGGTCTTGGTCTCACCTTTGATTGATCACGTCTGATTGATCACGATTAAAGCTCCAGGAGGCCAAATCATATTCACTGATATCTATCAAACTGAAGCTCTATTAAAGAAAAATAAAAGAAATAATTAACAAAAAAAAATACAGTTTCTTATACATTTAAAATTTATTATAAAAGGATTAAAATATTCAAAAACATAACTTAAATATAATATTTAAATTTGATATTCATGATCAGAAAAAAAGCAGAAATGCCAATGTAATTTTGGACTTATTTTATTTTTAATACTATCTGCAATTATATAACACTAGATTTTTCTTTCACTTTATCTTCATGTCTATTTAATTTTATGAGCTGATCCAGAAATTACTGAAATAGAAATGTATATAAAATTTCTTGGCAACTAACATTGGCAAGTGAAAAAATTTGAACTTTGGGTTTCAAGAGTGTCAAATTTTTTCTTATTTTTATTCTTTAAATATAGTGAATGGAAATAATTTGAAAGAGAATTTCATAGTATATTCTAAATAACTTCTTATATAATTTCTATACATCATATTCCAAAAAAATAAACATGTAGTATGAATATTTATAGTATGAAAAACAATGCTTTAAAGCAAATTCAATTGTTACTTCATTAACTATTTATAACTTTTAAAAAAATCTTACAATTAACTGTTTTAGTAAATAGAAGTGTTTTAAAACAAGTTCATTTACCTCTAAAATTTATGCCAACATTTTATTTTTGGAAAATAATTTGTTTACAAAAGTAAACAAATTGTTTAGTTATTTACAATGTGTTTAACAATGATAATTAATTAATTAAAACTATTTAATTAGTGAATATACAGTATATTAAAATTTGATAAGAAGATGCTATAATTATTCTCCAGTATCTTTTTTAAAGGGAGTAACATATATTTACAGCTTCACAAATGAGTTGACATTTAACTAGACCAAACTTAAGTCAACAGTAAGAGAGGTGAATGTAGTTATTGTAGAATAAATGCCAAATGAACTTTCAGCAAATTACATAAGCACAATATATATATATTTAAATGTTTAAATAGATAAATATATTATTTTACTTAAAAGAGTTGTTATTTTAAAAACAGATAAACAGTGAGTTTAGGTTATGAAATTCTAAACAGAAAAATACATTAACTATTTCCTAACACATTTCATTTGGTACAAATTTAAATTTGAAAACAATAATTATAATAAATATTTATTTTATGCACAAATCTTAAATTCTTGTTAAAATCAAAACAAATTTACTTTTTTAAAACTGCTTAATGTTAAAACAATTAATGATGTTTAATTCTAATATTGTTTAAACGATTATTAAGATATTAGAAATTTAATTTCTTAATATGATTTGTAATAATATTTATATACTGTTGATCCATATTTAAAACAAGTTTACCTATTGATATGAACACAAGAAAGAATGAACAAGTTTTATAATATAAAGAATATAGAATATAGCAATGCTTTTTAATATTCTAACATATGTTAAATCATTGTAAAATAAATTAATAATATATATGATAAATGGTATGATCATGTAAAAAGAATGGAAGGAAACAAGAATTTCAAGGAAAAATATCTTGAATTATAAACAAAGAGAAGTAAAAAACGTCTGAAGAAAAGAAAGTAAAAGTCGTCGTAAACAGAACAAACTTGGAATAAAAAACTGCTAATTATAATATATCCAAGATGTTAAAGATCATTAATAATTTTAAACATTTTCGAATATAATAATCCTCTGTATATTTTTTATTTATACTGTATATTGATTTAAAGTAGTTTTTAAAAAATTCATACCTATTGATATTTATTACATTCAAATATATAGTTTTTAGGGATGTGACTATATATTGTACACACAGTATGTATAAATAATTCCCTATTTATAAANAACTAAAAGGCACCGGTGGGATTCGAACCCACGATCTCCTGTTTACTAGACAGGCGCTTTAACCAACTAAGCCACGGCGCCACGTATATCGCTTTTCTTAACGTTGAATATCAATACACATCTATAATTGTTTATTTATATTATCTGCTTTAAATGCATTACCTATTGTAAGTTAAGTTCATATATACCGTTTAATTAAAAGACAATAACAAAATACTAATTAGGTCTTAAGTCATTTTTAATCATTTTAATCCGTTCATATAGACTATATGTTAATTAGAAATTATCCATATGTTCTCCTCCATTTTCTACACAAATTTAAATATTTCTCCATTTTCTACTGAATATTTCCTTCATTTGATGGTCTGAAGTCTTTAAAGTAGTTCCTTTTAGGTCTTTCGATTGTTATAAGATAAAGTTGAGAAAATTCTCTTTCACAATACAGTTGACCCCCTATAACACTATTGATTATTCCGTTTTATATGAATTCTATGTTGTACGAGTCACTTAGATTTTACAAATACGTGTGCCGGGCTGTGAACGGCTCACGTATTTGTAAAATGTGACTCGTACAACATAGAATTCATATAACACGGAATTATTAACAGTGTTATAGGGGAGTCGACTGTACCTTAAAACAAATCATCATATAAAGGGCCTATCATAAGAGGAGGCCACTCCTGATAGGACCTATATTTGGCCAATAGATCATATTTACAAGGGACTTAAAAGCATTAAGTATTACAAATTATTTATTCATTACACTGCATTTTTTTCGTATTAAGAAAAAGTCCTTGTTTTCCCGAATTTTATTATGTAAAATTCTCTTTTCTTTTTTAATTAATATACTAAGAACATCAAAAAATCTTGCTTTTTTTAAAGAGTTCTCGACAGATTTAACATACAAAAGACATCTCAAAGATCAAAAAGGGTCTTGGTCTCACCTTTGATTGATCACGTCTGATTGATCACGATTAAAGCTCCAGGAGGCCAAATCATATTCACTGATATCTATCAAACTGAAGCTCTATTAAAGAAAAATAAAAGAAATAATTAACAAAAAAAAATACAGTTTCTTATACATTTAAAATTTATTATAAAAGGATTAAAATATTCAAAAACATAACTTAAATATAATATTTAAATTTGATATTCATGATCAGAAAAAAAGCAGAAATGCCAATGTAATTTTGGACTTATTTTATTTTTAATACTATCTGCAATTATATAACACTAGATTTTTCTTTCACTTTATCTTCATGTCTATTTAATTTTATGAGCTGATCCAGAAATTACTGAAATAGAAATGTATATAAAATTTCTTGGCAACTAACATTGGCAAGTGAAAAAATTTGAACTTTGGGTTTCAAGAGTGTCAAATTTTTTCTTATTTTTATTCTTTAAATATAGTGAATGGAAATAATTTGAAAGAGAATTTCATAGTATATTCTAAATAACTTCTTATATAATTTCTATACATCATATTCCAAAAAAATAAACATGTAGTATGAATATTTATAGTATGAAAAACAATGCTTTAAAGCAAATTCAATTGTTACTTCATTAACTATTTATAA